AGTACAACTTCGGGAGTGATTTATCACTCCATTAGTAGCTCAGGTGAAAACCCTTCCAACTACTAATTTCATTGCCTACAGATCACTACTGCAGATCCTCTTTATAAGTTTTGACAGAAGTTAAAATCCTAATCATCTTACAATTTTTTTTTTTAAATAATAGTTTATAATTTATATACAGTATATATTGTATATATTTTTTTAACCTGTAATCATATCATGATGGTCTATTTTTATTGAAAAATTAAAGTAAATCTATAATAATTTATAAATTTTTATAAAGCGATCAACTTATCTTTATATATAAATATTCTAAGTCTGATTTTGAGAATAATATTATATTTACCTAATAGATTGGTAATAATCTCTATTTATCAAGATTATTGTTAACAGTTTATCATTATCGATTGTTTGAAAACCAATGAATTGCTAAATTAAAAAGGAGAAAAGGAAAAACAATTGAAGAAAAAAAACAATTTAAAGCTTATCAAAAAAATTCAAAAATAAAAACAACTTTTTTAAAAAGGAATCTGTCTGATTGGAATAGTCTTCTTACTTCACTTGAACCTCAAAAGAAATCTTTTTTTTTATTATTGTAGCATCAAACGAGTTAATTCAACTGGTTTTTTATTTAAATAAGTATCAGATTAAAATATTTTAAGAAAAGTATTAGACTTCATCTTTTTTTTATTAAAGTTTAGTTAACACTTAAAGAATTTAGATAAGATATAAAAGTTTGCAATCTATATTATCCATTACTTATTCTTTTGATATTATAGAAGTTTTTATTAAGGAACTTGGGATTTTGAAGGTAAATGTTTTCAGAATTTTCTTTTCAATCACTAATAATATATTAGAATATATGAATATTATCAATAAGAGTTTATTTACATTCTAAAAACTAATATGTTTTATGTCAATCAATCACCTTTGATGAGGATTTATGCTATTCAAAATTCAGGATCAAATTGAGGTAGGCAAAATTTCCTAGAAAATCATAAAAGTAGAAACTTTAAAAGAATTAAGACAGTCAAAAAGTGAGAAAATAAACCTTTTTATTATAGAAAACCTCTATTAATCTTTTATTTCAAAGGTTAGATAGATTTTTAGGTACTTTACAGTCAGTTTTTCTTCATTTGAAAACTTTCTTATCATTGATATTAAAGATGTTACTTGACTTTTCTTGATTACTAGAAATCAAGTTTTTGAGTGAAAAGATTTGTAAACAAAAGGAAAAGAGTAAAGGTGATTCTTGAAGTCATACTTCAAATTATTTTAAGGAAAGTATTAAGACTTTATTAGCAAAGAAGTATAAAAACTTTTTGTGAATATCTTTTTTGTATGTAATTAGAGAATCAGTAAAAAGAGTTGCAATAATAGTTTATAATATAGGATTTAAATAAATATTTTTTTATTAAATTTAATTATGTATTAATGGAGTTATAAATATTTTAAATTCAATAAAAAAGGTTATCAACTTTTCTTAATTATCAGGAATCAAGTTTTTATTTAAAAGAAATTGTGAATAAGAGAAGGAGAATAATAAAAATCTTAAATTGTTTTTAAAAAAAATGTAAAGATTCTATTAATTAATATTATTTTAATTAATGATAATTATATTTAACTTATAAGTATACTAGTGGATTATTATTATAAAATAAAAAAATAAAATAAAAATAAGTACGTACTGATAACATCAATCTAGATTTTGTCCTTTTGTACGTCACATTAAAATCGGGTAGACATGAGTGAAAGGTTGACAAGAATTGCCATTGTCAGTTCCGATAAATGTAAACCAAAAAAATGCAGACAGGAGTGTAAAAAGTCCTGCCCTGTTGTTAGAATGGGTATGTTTACCATAGCACGAAATTCCTGTTTAAACACTATTATTGATCCTTTTTTCTTTAGGCAAACTATGCATTGAGGTGACACCGGATAGCAAGATTGCCTTCATTTCTGAAGAGCTTTGTATCGGATGCGGTATCTGCATAAAAAAGTGCCCATTTTCAGCCATAACGATTATCAATCTTCCTACAAATCTAGAAAAAGAAGTCACCCATAGATATTCTGCAAACTCCTTTAAACTTCACCGTTTGCCTGTTCCTAGGCCAGGTCAGGTCCTTGGATTGGTTGGTACAAATGGTATCGGAAAGAGCACTGCACTCAAGATTTTAGCGGGAAAGCTGAAGCCAAATCTGGGGCGATTCGAAGTAATTGAGTCATTTGATTTTACGATTACATTTAAAATAATATAGACTAATTCACCTTTCAAATCAAAGGGACCGCCACCGGATTGGCAAGATATCCTGAAATATTTTCGCGGTTCTGAACTTCAAAACTATTTTACAAAGATCTTAGAAGATAATTTAAAGGTAATAATCGAAAATCTATTCTAATATAAATTTATATAATTCTTTAAGATCATCTTTTAAAGTTGAAAAATTCTTCCTCAAATTAAGGCCGTTATCAAACCCCAATATGTAGATCATATACCTAAAAGTTACAAAGGCACCGTTACAGAACTTATCGATAAAAAATTAGAACGAAATAATAAAGAAGAAATGATTAAAGCTTTGGATCTGCAAGACGTGTTAACTCGCCAAGTTGGTGATTTGTCTGGTGGAGAATTGCAACGATTCGCCATTGCTGCCGTGTGCATTCAGAATTCAGACATGTAGGTTCTATAGAGATCGAATTCTTCAAATTGCAGAAGAGCGAGAGCTCAAAATCCTAAATACATCACGTACTTCTTGCCTATTTACCAGATATATGTTTGACGAACCGTCATCATATTTGGATGTCAAGCAACGTTTGAATGCAGCCAGGACAATAAGATCCTTATTAAAACCAGAATGGTAATAAGCATTATAATAAATTTATTTTGGCTTATGCTTTTGCTTTAATCGTCATCACTCAATACTCCTTAAACTGGACCTCAGCTATGTCATAGTCGTCGAACATGACTTGTCGGTTTTAGATTATCTTTCTGATTTTATCTGCGTGCTTTATGGAACACCATCAGTGTATGGCGTTGTGACAATGCCTTTCTCCGTACGTGAAGGCATTAATATTTTTTTGGATGGTAAGGTACCAACAGAAAACCTGAGGTTCAGGGATGAATCCTTGACCTTTAGGTTGGCCGAAACAGCAGAAGACGAGAAAGAAATCGAAAAGCATAGAAGATATAGGTACCCTGACATGACCAAGACTTTAGGTAATATCCAATACGACCAATGGAAATATGGGTTCTATGGTAATTGACCATAAATATTAATTTATTTTATTTTCCTACAATACAGGCAATTTCAAGTTGACAGTCGCAGCCGGAGATTTCACTGATTCAGAAATCATTGTGATGCTTGGGGAAAATGGGACCGGAAAGACTACATTCATCAGGTTATTAGCTGGTGGAATAAAGGCTGATGGAGATCAACAAATTCCTGAATTGAATGTCAGTTACAAACCACAAAAAATTTCACCAAAATTCCCAGGCACCGTTCGCATGCTCTTTATCAAAAAGATCAAAGCCATGTTCATGCATCCACAATTCCAAACTGATGTCGTTAAACCAATGCAAATTGATAGCATCATCGATCAAGAAGTCTCGAACTTGTCCGGTGGTGAACTTCAACGCGTGGCCATTGTACTTGCGTTAGGTCAACCGGCTGATATCTATTTAATTGACGAACCTTCAGCCTATTTGGATTCCGAGCAACGTATCGTTGCTGCGAAAGTTATCAAGAGGTAGCATTTAAATAATAAATAAATGTACAAAATTCTCCAACATTCATTTTTTTTTTTCTTGTGAACAACTTAGGTTCATTCTTCACAACAAGAAGACTGCTTTCATCGTAGAGCACGACTTCATTATGGCCACATACTTAGCTGATCGAGTTGTGGTATATGAGGGAACTCCATCTGTGGAAGCCTTTGCCAACTCGTAAGTTACTACGTATAGTTCGAGTCGTGATTAAAACACGATTAGCAATTTAAGGCATGACATAATCTATAAAAATTTTTAGACCACAATCTTTATTATCGGGTATGAATAAGTTCCTTGCTTCACTTGAAATCACATTCAGACGTGATCCGACAAACTTTAGGCCTAGAATAAATAAATCTGATTCTCTCAAGGACAAAGAACAAAAATCAAGTAAGTTTGAAAACGACCATTATTTGTGCATGATTTTGTATAAGATTTTTATTCTTATCGATGTTCGTTTCAGGTGGAAATTATTTCTTTTTGGAAACTGAGGCTTGATCAAAAAATAACTAAATTATATGAGTGTAAAAATGCTTTACTAATTTTTAATGATAGAATATATCAATAATCATTATTTTAATAAATACTCCTCTTGAAAAATTTCATTATATTCTTAGTTAAAAATAAATAGATGCTAAGTCAAAAACAAAAATAATAGAGTTGCAGTACAAGTCGAATATTCAACTTTAATCATTTTTTATACTTTCCCACCTTTCCACCATTTCGACTAACTTCGAATGAACATCACGACCAAGGGTGAAATAATGATCTCTCTGGGAATCAAACATGCTGGTGTGAGCATCAATTTCATCCGATGCTGTACAATCAACTGGTGTGAAATATGACACCATCTCTGGTGGTGGTAACTTGATAAATGTACGAGGTGGAGAAATTGAAATATTATTCTTCGGTGGTATCTAAGGAATAAAGGGGTGATCAACGAATGTGAATGTATTATTAAATTGTTGTTGAAAGATAATGATCATAAAGAATAGACAATTATACCCTTGTGTAATAACAATGAAAATAAAGATTTGGCACTTCTATTAAATCATTCACCCTGGTAATATGAGGAATTATTTTCAATAAATAATTTATCTCAGAGTAATAAAAATTCAATCCATTACTTATCAGAGTAATAAAAATTCAATCCATTACTTGGTACCTTTTTTTTAATTTTTCGTGTTCCCATAATACGCTTACATACCGCCCGTGATCTTTGACCCAGCTACCAACTTTATCTTTGGTATAAAAAGCAGTTCCTGCAATCGCTGCCACACCTGCCAATCCAATACCCATCCACTTATATCCGCTCGGTTGGAAGCTGGTGACAGAACTTGGGATGAACTCTGAAAGTAGTGACACAGTATTACTAGCTTTCTGTGTCAAATCATAGGCTCTTTCAGTAAGGAGGTCGTTTTCTAAACCATAATACAGTATTCACCTGATACTAAGACAATAAACGTTTCGCAAGTGGATATCCCAAAATGATTTCTTGTTGATTAACGATTCAAATTTCAAATTTCATGATGTCTTTTTTAACTAAGAAAACGGAAGATTGCAACAAACTTCTGTTAATATTCATTCATGGCTTCAGAGGGACCGACACAACATTTTTGGTAATTCATTCGATTACCAATGAAATAAATATTTCGCTTGTTGCGTGATTTATATACTAAGCAGTTTTTCTATCAGGATTTTCCGAATCG